GATCACTGGCAGAGCTAAAGGTGTATGTTTAAAAATGCTACAGTTAAATCCTGATGAACCACTCTGCCCCTCCAAACCTACAGAAAGAGCTGAACTTGCAGGCAAGAGATCACAACAGACATGAATGAAAAATGAAAAACTGAAGACTACTAATCTAAGGAAAAAGTGGTGATCTGTACATAGCTTGGAATTCAGAAGGACTCCTTTATGATTTTCCAGAAATTTCAGAGGCTGATGAAGTTGCAGAGGACTACAATTCAAAACCAAGGACAGCTTAACTCAAGAGCAAGGTAGTTGTTCCTCATTCATGAGCCCATCCATCTCTTGCTGTCTCTGGAAGAGTCCCTCCATTACAGGGAACCTCAGAGATTTCTGGTAGTTGCTTAACTACCAGGCTGTTTAGCTATTACTAAAATAAATAAACAAAAACATCCATTGTCAAAAGGTCCTTCCAACCCACCACCCTGACCGACATGCCAATGGCAAACATCTATAGAAGAGTGTAAGTGCAGGGAGGCACACAGCTGTACCTGCAAAGTAATCTCTGCATCTCCAAGATGTCCAAGCCACTGGGGACTCCTCAGCAGTCAGACATCCCAGAAGGATTTATCTTCCAATCATTTTTCTCATTACTAAGTGAAAAACTCCATATCCACAAGCTCCAGTGGTGATGTGCTCTGCTCTTCAATGAACAAGTATCTCCTCATGTCTATCCCAACACACTCTTTTATTCTCTCTGGCTCCCATACTATGAGAAACAGTGAGGAGCCATTCCCTACTCACGCTTTCTCTGCATGAATGTTTTACAGATCTCTTTCACATACTACATCAGCTGTTTCTCTCCAGGGCAAAAAATCTTAAGTCATTTACTTATTCTTCATATTAAAGAAAACGATCACTGATTGACTAAACTTGGACTGGCTTTGCCTTTATCAGTCTGGTGCTACAAGACAACCAACCTTTTGCTGTTCACCTGCAATCTCCCAGGTCATCAAGGTCTAATGAGCGGGCCCTTGATCAAACAGCTCTTCTACTGCACCTCTTTTTTAAAAAATTTGCTTGAACATATATGGAAAAGAAATCAAAGTTACAAAGAAAATAGAAGAAAAGTTGCTAGAACCTAGGGAAAGTCAGGGTGCACAAAACCATGGGAAACTATAAATAAGGAGACTTGTTGAGCATGTTTGGGAACTGTCTCTCTGCTCTTGAAAAAGTATGAGGATTGGAAATACAGTCATTCCTAATTTTACACCAAGAACATCACAAACTACCTTCAACTCCAAATAAAAATTTAATCTAACACAAGAGATTAGACTAGCAAAATCGCTGACAGGGAAATTATAAATTATATTCATATCTGCTTGGTCAGTTATCCCACATTTTCTAATATTTAAGGCACACACAGCACCAAGGCACCATTACCTTCACAAAGATATGAGGCTTAAGAAGAACAGGCTTTGCAGGAAGTCTTGCACTGACAGTATCACTGGAGGTGTACTGTGATACCATAGTGGCCAGATGATCATGCTGGCATCAGTGAGATTTTACAAACATAGCTGTGTTACCAGCTATCTGTATTTACATTTCAGGCCCTCTGAACCAGTATAGCAGGTGTTACCTGAAAAATATCAGAGATTCACAGGGAAACAACAGGAGGCCTTCAAAAAGCCACTGGACAACCACATTCCTTCAGTATCAGAGTGCTTTTCTCATTCTCCCATCCTACATATCTGTTACTCTCACACATAAGTTTTTTTCTGAAGTTTGGTAAAAAACAAACTTTTAGGTTTTTGTAAGAAAAACATTTTTCTCTGTGTATGTAGTTCTCAGATCCATCTCTCTGTACACATATATCCCAAAGGATGACAGGGCATATTTTTAAATGCCTGGACTTCTCAGAGTTGCCAGTTCATGAAACCAAGACTTCAAAATTCTTCTGAAGTCAACTTTGACTCAGATGCCCCAAAAGGTGCAATGGGTCATACAGTGGAAAAACAGAGTTTCCAATCTAAATTTGCAGTTATCTACATTAAGTGTTCTGAAACTTGCTGTTTTGTGGGCTACAAACATTGAGTCAGGGTCTGTGGATGGGTTCCCAGATAAAGAACTATTTCCCTCTTGCTCACCACATTAGCTGGGGACTGCTCATTCTGCAGTGCTCACTACTCCACTCCAAGCAAAGCCTGCAAGTGGAAAAATTCAGAGACACAAAGGGGAGGAAAAAGTTCCTAACAGGGCTTTTGTATCTTTTTTCCCCCAAATTCAGAAATGAGACTCACTGCGTGGCAGCAGCTCACATTCAGAAGAGCTACTATGCCTCCCAAAGTCACCCTAACTGTATGAACAACTAAAAGTCAGTATATTCATTGAGCCCAATTCCTTCTCCCTTAAAATACCCACATTAACAGGAACAGTAAAATGGACACAAAGCAGGACTTCCAATACTGAAAATTGTTTTGATTATTCTTACCAGTAAAATACTTAATTAACAGAAGGAAAACAGAAGCTGTAATGTCAGAAGGTTGGACTTCATGATCTTGGAGGTCTTTTCCAGCCTAAATGTTTCTGTGATTCTAAGAACCAAAGCAGAAAGAGAAAAGCAGCCACAGGCAAAATGATGAGGTAGAATTTTACAGAGCTTAGAAAGCAGAAAAGGAAACACAAGCTGAAACCTCAGAAGTGCCGAAAAGTAATTTATTTTTAAGAATTTAGTGATACAAGGACCTGAGCCTGGAAGCTTCTAGAGAACTCCATAATCACCTTTTAACAAAGAATAAATACACAAAAAAGACCCAAGCCTGTTTCCTAAACAGGAAAGTAAAAAAAATAATTTAAATGGTTCATGCTACAAAAATCCTGCTTTATTCAAGGAAAGCTATACTTTGACATGAATCCTGTGCAAAGGAAGGGAAGAATATTCTGCAAGGAATATTCTGAGCAAGAATCCACCTATTAGCATGGCAGAAAGAAAGCAGAAGAATAAGTTGGAAAGAAAAGCTAAAGTATATGTTGACAAATTAAATTGATTCACAGAAGCCATGGGGCAGTCAACAAACTAGCCAGGGTTACAGAAAGTAAAGGTAACCCTATGGGAAAAAGAGAGGAGAAAGTTACTTGTAGAGAAAGAAAATCTGTGCAAAGCACGCAACTAAAAGAGGAACTGAGAAATCCATGGCCAAAAAGTTAGGGACAGCTGGAATCATAGATAATAAAAATGTGGAATTCAGGTAACAGTATTCAACTGTTTCTAGGTGAAAGCCATCCAGATGTCCCATCAAGATGGACAAAACATTCAATACATCAATTCCAAACCTGTCAAGAAAGCGCACTTATATGGACAAAATACCAAGAGAGGACTTCTGCGGGAGGCCTCATGCTGCCATCTAGAGGAGACTGGTCAGTGGTGGGCTTTGTCCTGCTTTGGACAGCCAGCTTCAATGAACAGCCAAGTCAAGAGAGGATTGGTAAACTTCAGTACAGAGATATAACCAAATACAACACACCTGAGACAAAACCCCAAGTCCCTTAACTTTTATGAATACATCTCTTGGATTTTCTTCGTGTTCTCTCACTAATCTAAGTCCATAAGAAAAAATAACCTAAAGGCAGTATTAGGAAAAACAGTCCCGAGCAGCTTCTGTTCAAATTCCGCAACTAATTTTTGGTTAAAATTTTCCAAAGATAAGTGTATATTACGACATGCAAAGTATTCAATGGATTACAGTGTAAAGGAAAACTGCTTTCGGTGACAAGAAGTTACAAGCATGGAAACCCTTCATAAAGCTTGAAAATTCAAGACTTAAGTTAAAACTGTTGAGCCTCACATATTTCAGTTTTCACTCACTTTGTCTTCTTTATGTATGCACTTGTTCTCTGTAAAAATAAATGGAAACACATGCAACAAGTATTGCACGTGCAATAAGGAAACAAATGCCTCCCTAGCTTTACTGCAACTCAGGCTCTGCTAAAGTCCATTTAGCAGAACAACACTGTCAGATATCAGAGCCTACAACTTAACTGAGAAAGCCAATCATCGGCCAATCTTTGCATTTGACTCAGTTTTACGCTGTTATACTTTAACTTCTACTCTACCAAATGCTTTACACAGTCTTAACAGCTGCTAGCACTGAAGGTAAAATAAACTTAAAGTATGTTGAAACAAGCTTAATGATTTGTTATGAAGAATGCATTAGGCTATCCTAGGTTTGCAGTCAGAAAGGCTCTAAAGGTTTAGTACTGCTGTCTTACCCACTGAAAGGAAGGTGAAAGACTTGAAACTTTTAGTGCTTTGTGTAGCCCAAGAGTAATTGTAACCAAGGTCTATGCTGGAGCATAACTAAACAGAAAAAAAGAAATGTGTCACTATGTATGGGTAGCATTAAAAACAACTCCACAATACTCTTGGAATTCTCAAAGCTGAATCAAACTGTTGACAAGAGTCTTAAATGAGACAATGAAAGGAGCTCTTTCTTCACAAAACCACAGTAAGAGTTGGCTGTTTGCAATTGGGATGAAGGTCATCTTTATTACTCAATGACATCACTTCCTGCCACAATGGACTGTAAGAAAAAATAACAGCTACAGAAGCAGAAAACAGTATGAACAACAAAGTGACAGGAGAATCCTATACACAGCTGCAAGTTTTACTGTGGAGGTAGTGCATGAAATTTGAGAGAAATACTGCCACAAGTATTCTGAGAAATACCTTTAGTATCTGAGTGGGAAATTAAGCAAAGTGACCTGATTTATGTAAGACAATGTTAACTCAGGAACAGAAGTCTCTGTGCCACTGGGTAACACCAGACTGACATACATGTTTTCCCACATGCAGGTAGGCTGTAAATTGGAGATGTAAGCTCATTCTTTCATCCTGTTGCAGGAGGTCACTGTCAAACACTTGCCAAATCTGCCAACACACTTTTCCAGCTACAAATGTACAAGCACATGCTTTAGTGGAAAGATTTGCAATGCAGTCAGTCACATCTATGTCCAGCACTTACATTCATCCAGTCCCAGCTGATAAGCCAGGTTCTGCAGGCCACGAACTTTTTCCATCAAGTTAGCTGTAGTGAGGCTCCCCAGTTCTTAAGAAGAGAGAAAAAGGTGAATTTTAACACTGTCTGTAGTACTCCAGTAGCAGTTCACCTGCTTAGTACTTCACAGAGGACTTGCAAGCCATATTTCTTTCAAGCCAGGATCTTTTTCAATGAACAATATATGTTCAAAATTCAAGCTGACTCCACTCTTAATTTTAACGTAAGGAGAAAGACAGCCATGACTCTAGTTCAATGCTTTAATCCACCACCATTGCAAAGAGTAATTTGACCCATACTTTTGGAAATTCCTTTAAGTTCACATTGCAACATGAACAAGCTATATAAAAGTATGCAAGGGAATGGACTTCTTTTACATTAACAATGTGAGTTCAAGTTTCCTGGAGAAAGTCAGAGTTAATTAATCTCACTTTCACTTTGTAGCCATGACATGTCACTGTGATACCATCACACATCACCATCTGCAATTCACGAGGCAGAGCACGCTGAAGGATGTTTATTGCAAACTAACAGCTGCAACATGAAGCAAGTGCACATGCTAGCTAATCCTTCTGAAACTTGCTCGTACAGCCTCACCATTGCATTGGAGCTCCTGGATGAGTGAGGGAACACACACACACACACACACACACAGAGCATCTCTGAGCAAGTCAATCAACAAGATTAAGCTACTCACCAACTGATAAGCTGAGCCCCTCCAAAAAATTCATCCTACTTCTCAAAATGTAGGAGACGCTCACTATACTTATACAGTGATAAAAATGGCTAAGGGAGGTGACTGAAATATACACAGTATTACACTGCTTGTTTTGAAAAATCAGCCTGCCACTGACATCTGGATGGGCTCCTGGAAATAACTGGTTTCATGAAAATGTCCATCATTAGCAAGATAAAGACTTCTGAGTCAGAGATTCTGCAAATATGATGACTAGAGATCTTAGGCCATAGGGCCACCACCAAAACATTTAAAGAACAAGTGTTTTAAGCCTCTTAAATAAGTACTGAATTCCCATCTGCTTTGGCAACCTCAATTCCTGCCCAGAATATTCATACTCACCCTTCAACATATCAATATCATCATTTTCTAATTCAGCCATCCACTTAGGAGGAGAACTTGTAATGGGCTGTTTTGAAAAAAAATAGAAGTTCACATTCAGAGAAGTCCATTTTCAGAATTATACCATGAAGTATGATCTGTATTGAAAACTAGTTACACCGACAGCAAAAATATGAGAGTGTGTCCCATAGAAATACTTTTATGTTTAATCTTGTTTTTTCCTGGACATTTTAGAATCTTAAATGGCATACTACCATGAACAAGCCAAAAATCAGTACGAAAAATAGGGTCTTCTGAAGTTTAAAACCCTTTATTTCTTCCAAAGTGTAATTCTCATACACAGTAAACTGCATACGGTATAAAAAAAGAAGCTCATATATAAGATACATTAAAACCAAAAGGCGTATTGTAACATATACTGGAGTTATCATTGAGACACGGTTCATAGGAGATGTAAAGCCCGCAAGAGACCCTGCAGATCTACCATCACACGGAAGGAGGAAACGCGAAAGGCAAAGCAGCGCTCACTCACGCTTTTGAAGGAGGCGGCGAACTCGGCAACCCCGGGCACTGGGAAGAGAAAGCGGAGGTTGGCGGGGGGTGAGCGCCTCTGCGGGCGGCACCGCCACCCCGCCCGGCCCCGGCGGCCCCGGCCCGGCCCGTGCAGCCGCCCCAAGGAGGTCCGGCCCCGGCCGGGCTCTCCCCACCCCACCCCGAGCTGTCACCCTCGGGGCAGCGGGCCCGCCGCACTTACGCTGCTCAGGCCACAGGTCCGGGGAGGCGCGGTCTAGCTTCTCGAAGCTCAGCAGCGAGGCCTCCAGGTCGGCGCCTGCAACAGAGAGGGGTTGAGGGGAGTTGGGGCGGGGAGCGGCGCGGGGGCGCGGCGGTGCCGCCCGGCCCTCCCGCCTCACCGTCCGCGGGAGCCGCCATGGCGCGCGCCTCACGTGACTGCCCGCGGCCGAGCGGGAGAGGAAAACAAACCCCGCCCCCGAGCCCCACGTGCCGCTCTCGCGGCCGCCGCGGGGCGGCGCTGGGCCGGGCGGGGCCGGGCCGTGACGCTCAGAGGGCGGCTCGGCCCCCTCTGCCAATCCACGGCCCGGAACGGGGGGCGGGGGCCGAGGGGGGCGTGGCCGGAGCGGCTGCCGGCGGCGATTGGCAGCGGGCGGCGCGAGGGCGGGGCCCGAGGCGGGGCGGGGCGGGGGGCGCCGTCGGGGGCCGCGGAGCAGCGACCCTGGGTCGGGATGGCGGCTGCGGCGGCGGCGCGCGGGGCGTGGGGCGGGCGGCGCCGCGTGGCGCTCAGGGTGAGGCGGCCGCTCCCGGCCCGCGGCGGCTCCCGCGGCTCGGGGGGCGCAGAGGGTCGCGGCTGACCTGGCCCCGGGACCGCGCGGGGGGTCGGTCCGGGAGGGGAGCAGGCGAAGTGGGGTCGGGGGGAGGTGCTGCCTGACCCGCCCTGAGGTGGTTTGTGCTTCCCCCCGTCCAGCTGCCGCGGAGAGCCGGTGCCCCCTGGATCACCTCAGTCGCCGCGCCCTTCTCTTCCTCGGTGGTGAGTGCCCGTCCGAGCCGGTGGGCGGGGGAGGGAGGGAGGTGCGGAGAGCCCCGAGCGCCGCCGCCGCTGCCCGCTGGACACTTCCCTCGGGTCTGTTCTGCTAAGGCCGTTCCCGCCGGTTCGGCTGGAACCCCGATGGGTCCGGGTGAGTCCGGTGGAACAAACATCGGCACTGCTCCCCGTGCTTGACGGGAGGGACGGAAAAAAGTTCTGTGTCCGATTTGTCAGACTCCGGAGCCGAGTGGTGGCCGCTGTCACCTCGCGTTACTCCGGGTGGCTCTGGACTGGCTTCATGCATCTGTTTGCGACAGAGGGAGGATCTGGTTTCCTTCGGACCGTATCGAACAGCTTTAGTTGTTGTACTGCCTTTTTTCCTCCACTGTCCATGGCTGCACACTCTCCGAACTCGAAACCAGGGTCCCACAAATAGTTTTCTTTACTACCGTCCATGTTTCCACAGCAGGGGCATTCTCTACAGAAAAAAACAAAAAAGGTGGCAATCTTACAGAAAAAGTGCAATTAATTTTAATTCAGCATTTCGTGGCTTGCTTTAAAATATTTTTGTTTCGTGTTCAATTTCTGAGATACTCTTTTTAAGCAATTTGAAAAAAACATGAACTCCATTGCATTGAGGTCTGTGTGGGTCATAAAGCACTGGAATTTGTAGCTCCATTGCAGAGACATGGCACTGAGGCTAATGGTGATTGATAGCCATAGGAGTTTGTCATTCTTTAGACCAGCAGTTTTTCTGACAGTCAGGAACTTCGGTCAAGGCACTCAGATTTCCTGTACTTCCTTCCAGGTTCTAGAGGAGATTGTGTTTTCGTAGGCACAGACTTCTGCCTCTCTTCCTCAAATTTTTTTTCTTTCATTGTCATCCTGTTTTCACTGTCATTACTTATCCACCTAATACCATTTATGTTCCTGATTCTTCCTCCGATCTCTTTTTCTTCATTACACTTTGGATAGTGTCCAAGTCCTCATCTCCCTTTCATAATTCCACATCATAATTTCTTCAGTTTTCTGATATATTTGGGTTTATATATACCTGTTCTGTTGATCTGTCCCCTTTCTGTTATTCATACAGAAGATCAATTTCCCCTTTCTCTTACCTGTTCTCCCCAAGTCATGGATTTGTGTCATGATTAACTGGTTCTTGTTTTCTCCTAGTTTTCTCCTTACCTCCCAATGTCAACTCCTCTTTTCTAGTTTCTTAATTTATACAGTCACAATTTGTTTTCCTGCATGGTACACTTTTATTGCCTATCTAATGCTAACTACAGGTTTTACCTCTGCTTTCTGTTCTGTTCAATGTTTGCCTGAACTCCTTATTACAAACTTTCCTTGCCCCTCCTCTTCATCTGAGTGGGAAAGTTTCTGTTTTCTGTGCTGCCAGCCAGGACAGTCCACAGATGCAGGTTCCTTGCTCTTAGTTGCAGGACCAAGTGAGGGGTGGGGAAAGTCCAATTTTCTGCCTAAAGCTATGAACTGGAAAGACGAACCTGCTTAGTGGCTTGATGGGAAGGAGGCACATGGGACAGTGGTACAGTCTGCACTGGGTTCATGGAATTCCCATGAGTGAATTATTAACTGTTTCCTCTGAACAGTTCACACATAAATTCACAATTTATGAGTTGCAGTTTTTCAGTTTTTTATTAAATAGATAGAAATAATTCTGAACATAAGCAGAGCAATGTATTTTTTCTATAACTGCTCTTAGAAAGAATTTTGGCCATTTTGGTGTCAAGTGGGAGAAAAATGGGGCAGAGAGCAGTTAGCTGGGTCTTGCTGTGAAGGCTGGATCTAGACTCTGTAGTGGTTCACATAGCAGTAAATGATGAAGGCTTGCATGTAATATGGCACACTGGTATTTAGGCATGTTGAGACAAAAATAACTCACTGTCCAGTGTTTTGACCTCCACAGCCAACAACCAAACTCTTCATTGATGGGAAGTTCATTGAGTCCAAAACTACTGAATGGATTGATATCCACAACCCGGTAAGTGAAATGGTCTCAGCTTATATAAACAGTGATCAGTGTGAAACAAAGGTCTGTGCCTCTCTTCAGGGATATGGCAGAAGAAAAACATACTTATATTTCTTGAGAAAGGTTTAGACATGGAGCTTAAGGTAGACTACAGCCTCTCAGTTTCCTTTTCACATCAAATGTCAGTCTGAGAAAAGTTACTATCTCCCTTACCTCCCTCACATAGTAAGCCCCTGATCTCCAGAAAGGAAGTTTAAACTCTGGTTATATTTTTTTTTCATGGAAGGGCTCTTTGATAAGTATGTCAAATTTCTGAATGGTGTCCTTCACCCTGTATATGAAATCAACTGGGTGCGATTTGATGCTAGCTGAATGTGAAGTACTCTCAGAGTAAAAAGGTGAAAAATCCTCACAGCTGAAGCTCCTCTCATTTCAGAGAGCTTCTATCTGTGACCCACAACGATCACAGAGAAGTTAGAAGTTGGATGCTATGCAGTGCAAAATAGATAAGTAGCACTTGTATTGTCTACGTACTCCACCAAAGACAAATGGAAATGAGGTTGCACTCAGAATTCTGACCCTCCTGGCCTCCCCAGTAAGCATTTAGCAATTTCTAAATCTTCTCTGTAAAGCTCTATTTTCCTTTGCTTTGTGGAAATGATCAGAGCTGCAAGCCATGTTCATGAAGCTCATTTGGTCTCTATGCAGCAACCGGTGTTCTTGATTAATTTTCTTCCTCTTGTTTTGAGTAGTTTCTCTTTTAGTGATATATCTGAAATTTTTGTCATGTCAAAGCAGATCTAATTTTTAAGAGAACATTAGAAGGAGGTTAAACTGGCAACAAGCTTGAAGTTAAAATACTGTAGGGCTAAGGTTGCATGTAAATATAGTACTTTGGCCTGAGGTATAGGTAAGCTAACATCACTGGCAATTGCACAGTCATGTATTGCTTTTCCCAAAGGAATATTGCCTCATTTAATGTGCAAGAGGGACAGCCAGATGAACCATGGATGGAGAGGGAAAAGACTACAGCCCACAGAAACTTTTGCCTTATACTCTCTAGAAGTTTCAAGATAGACAAATCAGTTCAACTCCAGCTTGGAAATCAGCACTGCATTTGCAGTTTTCTGAGTGCCTAATTTGAGGTATTTGGAGTTTTCAGATTTTCAGAATTACTCCAGTTGTAGCCCAGGCCTTTTGTGTGCAATCAAGGAAAGCGTCTCCTTTGTGCTCTGCCCTCAGAAACACAACTCCTTGTAGAACAAGAATATTAGATGTGTGCTGTGAAAGGATTCTTGAATGGTTGGTGGGGACAGATGGGAAAAGTTGAGTTTTGATGCAATTTGTTTTCTCTTTCAGGCCACAAATGAGGTGGTTGGTCGTGTACCGAAAGCCACACCCAGTGAGATGGAGGCAGCTGTGGCTTCCTGCAAAAAGGCTTTTTGGAACTGGTCAGAAACATCTGTTTTGAGTCGCCAGCAAATCTTTCTGCGTTATCAACAGCTCATCAAAGACAATCTGGTGAGACGCCATGGCTGTGTGTGATGGCTATGGCTGAATGCATTGCAGCTGATTTTAGGAACTAAATTGAGAGACTTGGGTTTACAGAGTTCTTGATGAGGTGTTGCCATGATCAAGCCAACTGAGACAGTCGAGAGAAAAACAATTCCCATCAAATGGTAACAGAGAGGCAGCACTTCTTAGGGAATATTACTCTGAATTTGTCCCTTTACCAAGAGACCGCAGAAGGAGCTTTGAGCCTTGATGGAACATGCCAGTTGATGAAGACAAGTATGTTAATATGTTTTTGGGCTTCTCTAATTGCTTTTATGGTGTGTCTGTGGTGTCATACCTGAAAGCATTAGAGTACAAGCCATCCTAGGATGATCTTTTCTAAAACGTCACTTATGTGGGTTATTGGTTTCTTGTCTACAAGGAGCAAATCAGTCAGTGTAGGTTTTTCTGGGTTCTGTTCAGTCTATTCATTGTCATATTCAACTCTGTTAATTCTGTCCTATCCTTGCACTCTATTTCATGGGTGGGCACTTTTCTAACACTCATAAACTTTGTGTTTTCTGTTTCCAGAAAGAAATTTCCAAACTCATCACCTTTGAGCAAGGGAAGACCCTGGCTGATGCTGAGGGAGATGTTTTCCGAGGCCTCCGTAAGCTGCTGGCTCCTCCTGTTAAAAAAGAGGGGTTGTGAACCCACAGGGAGGGATGAGGTCTCCTGAGCAACTGATGGCTCTGTACATGTTGCTCCCTTTATAGCCTCCAACTCAAAGAGAAGTGTCAATTGTAACTCTAAGATGAAGAGTTTTCTTAGACAGAATATCTTTAAATAACTTCCAAGTTGTTAGAGCTTTTTCTAGGAGTGACTGCAGATTACTAAAAAAGATAAAAA